GAGCCCTCTCCCTCATCATCGAGGCCCCCTATTTCTCGCTTCTTCCCCTGTGGGTTTCCCAAGGGGATGGTGTTGGGGTTCACCCACTTGTTGGCCTTCGGCGGAGGCCCTTGATGGTGAAGGGGGCCCTGGGGAGGAGGGCCCCTGATGAACTGAGATAAGTGGCCCGCCTGTATCAGCCTCTCAATGGCGTTCTTCAGCTGATGGCAGTCGTCGGTTTTGTGTCCATGGTGGCGGTGGAAGCGGCAGTAGGGCTCATCAGGCCCGATGGCATAGATCTCGAGGGGTGTACGGGAGTCTCGCTCAACGAGCCCCCGCTCTTCTGCGTGCTCAAGAATGACGCTGACGGGATGCGTCAAGGGAGTGCGTGGGTGCTCAAGGAGGACGGGTTGCGCCCATGCCTTCGGATTGTTTTTGTAACCGCCCCCGGGTCTGGCTTGGCCACCTCGGGGGCGATCATTGTAGTGGGGTTCTCGGTTGACCGGAGGGGGAGGCCCTCCGGGCCGATTCCTGCCCTCATTCTTCTGAGAAGGATCCGTGTTGCGGCGGTCCTTCTCGATTTCCTCTGCCTCAGCATAACGGTCCCCCCGCTGAAGGGCCTTCGTATAATCGCGAGGGGGATCAGTGATAAGACTCCGAGAGAAGTTACCGTTGCGGAGGACGGTGTGGAAGAGGGCCATCAAGGTTCTGTCATCGGCGCCTTCGACCTCGAGGGAGGCCTGCCTCCAGCGTTCTAAGAAACTCCGAAGGGTTTCTTCCTTCTGTTGCCTCACGTTCAGGAGGTGGGAGAAGTGTTTCTTTGAGCGATGCCTCCCGGCAAACTGTGTGAGGAATCGGTGGGCAAGTTCCTGCCAGGAATCGATGCTGCCTTCGGGCAACCGGTTGAACCACTCATACGCTGGCCCCTCCAAGGTGGAAAGGAACCATCATCATACTGTTCTGATATCTGCTGTAGTGTTCTTGGGGATCTGTTTTCCCCTCGTATGGTTTGATGGGTTGCCCGCGATATTTGTGGGGGATTTTGGCCGCCAACACCCTTGGGGTGAAGGGTGTTCTAGTGCGGAGTTGAATGAGGGGCTCGCCTGAGCCTTCGGCAAGCTTACGCTTCATTTCCTCCACCTGTGCCCGGAGGTCGGCGTACTCAGGATCTGGCCTTGCTGTGGAAGCCGCCGGGGGTGCCTGACGATTCTCCTCGAGTTGACGGAGGAGGGCCTCAATGATTTCGTCCTTGGGATCCTTCGGGGCAACCCCTTGGGAGTTGGCCCGGAAGGATTGCGCCTGTGTGATTTGGTGCCTGGCATCGTCGGCATGGAGGAGAGCCTTGCCTTTGCTTCGGGGGGGAGGCACGCCCTCGGCACCCAAGGCGGAGGCTCCACTTTCCTGGGGCCTGCTGAGCGCTTGTTTCCCGAGGCGGTCTTGGACCCCTCGGTGCCCGGGAGCTCCCCCGAGCCTCTCAAGCGCAGAGGTTCGGGGCTTCTCCTTCATCATGGGGCGCTTGTCCCTGGACTGGGCCTCTTGGGAGGCGGTATCCTGCGCCATGACCCCCTCGGCATTGCCAATCCCCGGGGGAGGATTGTTGAACAAAGGAGGGAGTGGTGGTAGGTTGATAACATTCCCTCCAGCATAGGGCTGAAGGGGTGCCTGAGAGGCGAGGGCTCCGGAATTGAGAGCCATGTTTTGAACAAAGGCCGCAAAGGCAGCCTGAAGATCGATGGCCGGGGCCGGAGGGGGAACTTGGTTCTCACTCTGATCCCTCCTTCGATTATCAAGGCCAATGCGGGCATCAGGGGCGTTCTTCTGTAGTTGCTGACGGAGGTCAGCAGTAGCCTGCTCCAACTCAAGGATGATACCACCCTCGGGTACCAAGAGCCTGTTGGAGGCCTCAGCCCCGTTGGTTTCGCCGGGGGCGATATGGTTCTCCTCCAGAGTTTTGGATTGGGCACGAGTGGTTCTTCCCATTTTTTGGTAAGTGTTTCGTATTTGGTAGTAGGGGAGGGTTTCTTACTTGATAGTTCAGACCTCTCAACGAGAGCACCAAATGATGGATAGTCTACCCGGGGGTATCTTATCCGAGGGGTTACTACGGGAATAACTTAGAGAGAAGTCAGAGCAAATAGGAGGAGAGAGAGTCGATTTTATTAAATGAACTCGAGATGTGGAGTTGAGATCTAGATCCTGATTACAAGGAGAAATGGGCTGCTATTTATAGCAGCAATAAATGCGATGAGAGGACACGTGTCAGTAATCCAACGGCCGAAGGGTCACATCAGCCTGGTGGCACTGGCAGTGGTACGTCAACCGCATTGAATGCGGCTGGCGGATGCGACGTGGCATTAAATGCGGTGGTTGGCTGTCCCTAAAAGGAATCTTCGATGATTGAGCTAGTTTAGCCGAGGGTTCCTTGTGTAGCCAAGGACCATTGTGTGGCCGAAGGCCCCCTGTTGCCGAAGGCTTGGTTCAGCCGAAGGCTTCTCCGGTGCCGAGGGCGTAACAATGCCGAAGGCTCATGTTTTCGCCCGTTTTTCTCCCAGCAGCCTCTTATGCCAAAAAGGCTATCCTGTGAGTTCTAGAGCCTTCGGCCAAGAAGGCCGAAGGCACCCCCCAGTGAGTATTCGGGGCTACTTTGAGGCTTGGGCCGTTGTATTTGGGCCTGAGTTGTTTCCTGAGCTCAATGGACTTGTGCAGGAGAAATAGGAGTCTATGGGCCGGGAGTTCCTGGGCCATATACTCCATCACATGTCATCTTTGAAATTCCATAAGTCTGAATGCGATCATTGTCTATACTTCAAAAATACTTCTTATGTGCCTGTATTTTTATTGCTATATGTGGATGATATGTTGATTACTAGTCGTTCAGGTGATCCCATTAAATGTGTGCAAAAATGTCTATGTGAGAACTTTGCAATGAAAGACCTAGGTGATGCAAAAAGGATCCTAGGCATTAACATTATTAGGGATAGCAGTAAGTGTGCATGTGTTAGTACTCAATCAGATTTCATACATTGAAAAGACTTTGAGTATATATAACATGCATTCTGCTACTCTCGTTTCTATCCCTATGGCGTCACACTTTGTGTTAAGTAAGGATCAGTCTCTCAAGACTGCTCCTGAAATTGCTAAAATGAAATATGTCCCTTATTCCAATGCTATTGGGTTCGTGATGTATCTCATGGAGAGTACTAGACCCGACATTACCTATGATGTACTACTATTAGTTGCTTGAGTAGGTATATGTTTAACCCTGGTTTAGACCATTGAAATGCTCTTAAGTGGTTGCTTAGGTACTTGAAATCTACTGTTAATCGTTGGTTGGTTTTCACTAGGTGTTCTAAGGGTATTAAGTTGAGTGGGTATGTGGATTCTAATTTTGCTAACGATAGAGACAATAGAAAATCCACTACCTCTTATGTGTTTACTTTTTGCGGGTCTTGCATTAGTTGGAAGTCTCAACTTCAACCCATAGTTGCCATTTCCACTACTGCATGAGTCTGAGTATGTGGCTGCTATCGAAGCGTTTAAGGAAGCCATTTGGCTTAAGCGTCTCCTAACAGAGATTGATAGTCTTGAGCAGGACATTTGTGTGTTTTCTGATAGTCAATCTGCTATTCAACTTTGCAAAAACCCTGTTTTCATGATAGAACTAAGCATATTAATGTTAGATTTCATTTTATATGTGATATTGTTAGTGCAGGTCATATCAAGTTGATTAAAATTCCATTTGAGTTTAATCCTGCAGACATGGGGACTAAATGTTTCTCTGTCGAAAAATTGTTGTCGTGCAAACGCACATTAAACATTGATTGCGGATAAGTTGTCTGGTGATCTTTTCCCTTTTGCTTGTAATGTGTCTCTGTGATCATTCAGGCAATCCAGCGATGATGAGTCTCAAATTGTATTAGAGATTTGCGTTCTACACCACTAGGGTCCAATAAGGTGGGGAATGTGTTGGTATTGGCCCGGTCCACTTCATAAGCCCAATTCCCTTAAGCTATTAACAGGTCCATGAGTTTTGAATTACTCGCTTGCTCTGCATCTCCTCGTGTGATGCTTCTTCCCTTGTGCGATGCTTCATTCTTTTCCTTATGCGATTACCAGCAATCTTCTACACTTGGTAAGTTTCCATGTTTGTGACTTGAGCTTGGCCTATATATGTTACTCCTTCTCCTTGTTCGATAATTGCAGGCCGAAACCCTTTCTCACCCAGATTACCGTCCCTGCTCCTCCTGTGGGGCTCTAACGAAAATTGGCAGAATTGGACCTTGAGGTTGTTGCTCACAACCTCCCCTTTAGATCTTAATGGTGTTTAGCATCCTTTGTGGATGTAAAATCGAGACCTGAGCTGGAAGAAACGCTCCTTACATGATGGTTCGTCCCCCTCCTGAACCACCATCAAGGAGTGCAAAGAGGATAGAGATTGGAAGAAAACGGTTCAAGTATGGATTTTGGCACCTAAAGAGTTCTTAATTTTCTGTTAGTCTTAATTTTTTTGTTTGGTTAGTTTTCATAAGTATTTGTTTATGCTTCACTTTGCTGCTTTTAATAATGTTTTGAGTTGGAGGGGAGTTAGTTGTGTTGTTATGGTGTCTACCACCTCGGTCAGAAGCTTTGTGACTTCAAAAATTGTCATTGTCTTCCAAACTCTCACATGATTAGCGAATTAGTATTAGAGGGAGAGGGTCTTCAAATTTTGAATCTAGTGAGAGTTTTGGTTTCAGTTTGAATCTGAGTACGCTCTTGATACAATTTATTTTAATATAACATACGCGAAAAAAAGATCTCACTCCACACAAAGTTCCTATGATCATTCAAAGTATAACTAATCGCTGGTCATCAAGTTAGGCAAACTCATTGAGAATGGGTACGGTGAAGTGATATTAGCCAGAGAAATTGTTTGGTGGAATCTTATTTCTTTTTATCCTGTGACTCAATTAATGCCGACATTACTTTGTTAATTTAAATTATTTCTTTGATTTATACAAGAAAATTATATGTTGAATATTTTTCGTTAATTCATAAAGTATTGGTAATATCACATTATCACCCACATTTCAGCACATTCAACAATTGAGACCAGTTCCATTTTCGTTTAACTTTACCTTACAAAACGGGTATTGAAGCCTCAAGAATAAAAAGAAAAGGGCATTAATAACTGCCAATAACAACTTGCATAACCAGCGCCTATGTTGATACTTCACCCCCAGCACATAAACGCGCACACAAAGACTAATTGCACAAAATCCACCACCAGTCTTGGTCTCTATGATTGGAAGTTGATGCCTGGCACTCCCAACTTGTATATGTACTGCTTATTGATAAAAAATAAAATAATTCTTTTTAAATGTTACAAACAAAAAGAAAAGGGGCACCCCATGGAATTGAACAATGAAGATCATGTACCAGAGGGATCAGGGATGGATGCTACGGTTAATTATATCACAGAAATGGAAATCGTGACCGAGACATCGGTGGCAACAAAACTCGTATCCCTATCCGAGTTCGTGCCCCCTCCAAATGCATACCCACCGCCATAGTGCATCATCCTTGCAGTCGAGCCGTGTTGTTCGCACCGTTGGAAGACCCTAGCAAGGGACGCAGCCTTTCTCCTGGCCCGTTTCGTCCCCGTGAAGAGCAATGACTGAAGCGATCTGGCCAATGCCGGGGCCCTCAACATCCTCTCTGCCGCGACATCACCCCCGCCTCGACACAGCTCGAGCAGAGCTACAACTGCATTCTCCTTCCCTTTTGGGCTCCCACATCTCATCATACCGATCAGCCCGGAAACCGCATGCTCCTCTCGTCCGACTGCCGCTGCCCCAGCCGGCTGCCTCACAATCAATGTCAATGCACCAGCCGCTTCTTCCGACACGCCTTCGGTCCCCAAAGCCATGACCAAAGAGCTCACAGCTCCGGAATCTATCATTCTCCCGCAGTTCTCCGTGTGGGTGGACAGATTAAATAGAGCAGTCACGGCATCCTTTTTGCCCCTGGGTGACCCCTCTCTCAACAGACCCACCAACGCCTCCACTGCTCCTTCCTCTCTGGCTATTATCTTCTTGTAATCATGAACGGCCGAGAGGCTGAACAAAGTCGCGGCGGCATTCTCCCTGGCCTCCGGAGTGTGCCCGGACCTGAGAACCCCAACAATCAGCTCTAGACAGCCCTTCTCGCCCATGATTCTCTCTTTGTTCTTTTCATGAATAGACAGATTGAGAATGGCGGTCACGGAATTCTCTTGAGCGACCGAATCAGGAGAAGAGAGCAGATTCTTCAGGAGAAGGATTGCTCCGGCCTCGGCAATGTAGGCTCGGTTCTCCTTTCCCGTTTTCGCTAGCAATCTGATCTCCCGGGCAGCAATGGTCTTGGCTTTCTGGGTTCCTTCTCCAAGCTGTTTTATTAGATGGGCTGCGGTGGCTTTATTGGCTTCATATGTCGCCCTTCCTGGTGAAACTGCCCCAAAGCCTTCTCCACTGCATGATTCTCCCGTCTCGGGTGGGTTGTCATATGGAATTCTATGGGCAGCACACCACTGGGTGATCAAATTCTTGAGAGCCCTGTTGGGCACAAGGTGGGTATGGACAAGAGTTTGTCCGGTCTTCGGGCAGTTGCAGTGCCCCTCCTCCATCCACCTAAGTATGGAAGGGCGGTCATACGTCTGCCCGGTGGATACAATGATGACTGGGTCCTTCATTAAATCCAATGAAATGGGACAGCAAAAATCCTTTGGAGCTGATGAAAAACCAAATGTCTCAGGGCGGATTTCTTGGGAGATGGATCCTAGACTGTAGTAGTAGTGCTTAGAATGACTTCCACCCAGTTCCTCATCATCATGCTCCTCCTCAAATCCAAACAGCAAGAAGCTGGAGTATCGGGTCATTGCCACAAACCCGCTTAACACAGACGCCGTTGGATCAATATCTCCTTCATGATTCATAACCTGTTCCTCCAGGAACTCAATTTCAAACCTGCAACTCCTGGCATCCCGAATCTCCAACTTCTCCACGTACAATGAGTATAATTCACGAGAGTCTGGGATTTTACCCTTCTCAAACTCGTTCAAGAATGAGTACAGCTTTAACCTCAAGAGTTCATCCTGCTTGTCGATGAAAAGAATGGATTTTTTGGATTGTTTTTGCAACAATGTTACTTGTTCCCTCACATCGTCAGGCAGGTTCAAACACTGTATCGGCAAGACATCCAAGAGTGTAGAAATCTCTTGGTTCAGATCGAGGAAATGACCCGAAATGGAGTGATTTTGCAACAAGAGCCACAGTTTACTTGAATGCACACAGTAATCCAGTAGTATTTTAGAGCGGTAAAGTATAAGGTACAACTCTTTGAAGCACATAAAAGCATTAGAAGGATATCTGGATGAACCTCTGTTGTCTCCGAGCCATTCCATGGCTACTGAGAGAATTCGTATCTTCCGGAGCAGAATTTTGGAATTCTTACGCTGGTAAGCCGGCTCAACTTTGCCGGGAAACGATGAAATCAGCTCCTTAGCCAAGGCAGCTACCGCCTTCACCAACGCCCTGTCCTCCAGATCTAGCGGGGCCAAGAACGCCTCCAGCGATGGAGACCTCCGCCGCCTCAACGACGAGAATACAGCCGCGGAATCCATTCCGATCAACACCCCCACCTCAGTTCACGCCCAAATTTAGCTCCAAGTCTCGGGTTTCGCTTTCTCCACTGAAAATCCTGGAGGAAGATAACTGAGTACACGTTAATTGTAAATCAGAGCTAATACTTTGATGGTATTATATAATATATGAAGGCCACCCATAAGAAAAGAAAATGAGTGCATAGTCATGAAACCGCGTAAGAAGACGAAGAAGCGAAAAGAGATGGAAGAAGTTGGGAGTATTTATTGATACTTCCCATTTCATGACATGAGTCATCACTGAATTTTCAACCATTTCCATTATTATTTATTACTTCTCTTATTCTTTTCAGAAAAATACTACCTCTGTTCTTAAATAAATGCGAATTTTACACTATTCACATGTTTTACTTTGACTACGTTTTATTTATTAATGTATGAATATATTTTTATGAAAAATTTTTTGTTAAATTTATCTCATTGTAATTTTTCAATATCTATTTTTTTAAATTTTTTACTAATATAAATTTATATATATTAATGGTCAAAGTTGTGTCTCGACAAGTTTGAAATGTTTACCATTGCATTTATTTAAGAACGGGGGAAGTACTTTTCTTTTCTTTATTTTGGTATCCGGAAGACCGGAACATTAAAATATTACAATCGGGTATTTTTGAAATTATTTACAACTCCGCTGGTAAAGATTAGGGATGGAGAAGGCCTTATGACCTCTGTTCGCTGCTCACTGATGTCCTGCGAATCGAATCAATCGATGGAGGAGGGCAGGAGACGTCGACAATTTGTATTGTTCGCTTGATGAATCGCTGGAGGCTGGCAGACGAAGTGTCGTTGGGTGGATTCCTGGGATTGGTGAAGGTGGTGCAGCTCCTGGGATTGGATGGAGAGTCGTGCTGGTTGTGTGGCCTAAGGACCAATTTCAACTTTGTATTTTAATATGATATATTTTAATCAAAAAAGATCTATGTACCTACTTTTATACCCACTTTTGTATCCACCTATATTTGTGAAGTGTTTTTTTTTGTCTATGAACTCCGATTCACATACAATATTTTGCACAAACAAAATATTGTCTGTGAACCAGGTTCACAGACAAAAAAGACTTTCACAAACATGGTGGGTATAAGACTATAAGATGGATATAAGAGTGAGTACATCAAGCATTGTTGTATTTTAATATTGTGTGTTAACATTTTGAGTTTGGGATTTAATCACGTTAGAAAAGCTGATGACGTCAGAAATTTCTCATTGTATGCTCATTAAAATCGTGCTCGTTGTGCAGCTATTTTGATCACGCTAGAAAATTCAAATGAGTATACACTAATAAAAATTTGAACAAACTATAGATTTAAATGAGCTTTTTGAATTTTTAGTTGCTCATTTCATAACTTATGTATGCTCATTTGATATTGGTGCAATGCTCATTTTGAAATGCTATATTCATGCATATTTAAAAAGTATAATATTGCATTAGATTCACATATTTGATTCATAGAGATTTATTGTAGGTATTTTAAAAAATAAGAAAAATGGAACGAATTAAAGATATGAAACAGAGATTGAGATGCTCAAAAAAACAGGTCTCATGCTCATTAAAAATACATTCATGCTCATTAAGCAGATGTCACAAATTTCATTTAAATTACTAAAATGTCACCATTTTTTAGTTGTGATACCGGTTTTCTTGTAATAACATGGTTCTCATTATTAGACGCTTAATACTCATTAAAATTGGACTATTGCTTATTAACAGTACACTAATGCTCATTTAGCGGAAGCCACGATTTTTCACTTAATTACAAAATTGCCACCGAAAAAATTTGGCCTGTATTGATTGTTGGGCTGCCTCCCTTAGTTGGGCCGGGTGTACGTACACCCGGTGGTATGATATATGCCCTCACCACACTTGAGCTACACACTTTTCATACACACTCGTGTCTGTGAAGAGCTATTTGTTGTCTGTATACAGACATAACGTATTCGAGAATACATTATGTCTGTATACAGACAACAAATAGCTCTTCACAGACACCAGTGTGTATGAAAAGTGTGTAACAATAACACTTTTTAAAATATTATTAGTTTAATTGGAATCTATATCTCTATGGTACGCAAAAACATAGAAACAGGTACATGGAAACAACAAAATAAAAAAAATATGATACGGATATGAGAGTATATTTTTTGAATATGGATACAAGAGTATATTAATAAATACGGAATATTAAAGGTTATAGATGTGTATTTATAAATATTAAAAATTAAAGGATTTTGAAAATAATCAAAATATATACAAACAAATATTACCTCTGGGATGCTTATTCATGGCATCGAAGCATTTTTAACATTAAAAAGATAATCAGAAATATGCATACTTTATCTCATATGCACTAGTGTGTCTCGAAATATAAATATACCCAATAAGTCGTTAATTAAAATGAAAAACGTGTCAAACGATCACAATTTTGAAAATTAAAAGTGCAAGTACTCAAAGTTCTAGTGATAACATCGTCTTCCAAAAAGACAGGCTCCAATCTGGTTCATCTCTGAAAAGGTTGGCAAACTCAAATACTCATATATCCTCCATGCTTCTAAAGTCATCTCCAACACTTTCTCACATTTTACTTGTCATTCATATAGTTAGTTGTGTGCGAGATTAAAGCAAAGTAAAGTCTATTTTTAGTTTTTCATTTTTTAAGAATTTTATTATGTAAATTTTGGTATTTTTTATTTAAAAATGTCGATACGTGTATCTGTCAAGATACGAATATAATTTTTTTTAAAATAATTACCAAAAAAACCTGAAAACTTTTAATAGATTGCATATATGGCCCAAAAACATACTGTGTAAGTATCTCAAAGTATCTGATACGAGAAAGTTTCTGATACGACAATATAATACTTAAAACTCATACGTAGTAGTACAATATTATGAAATTTCTTTTAGCATAAAGATTCAAAATAGTAAAAAAAAAAAAATCATAATATTGTACTACGAGTATCTTTACATAGCATATACTCCCTCCGATTCAAAAACAAGTTCCACCTTTCTTTTTCGTGCAGTTCCAAAATTAAGTTCCACTTTTAAACCTTTCCTTATTTGGCAAATTATCTACATCAAAACAGTTCTAAACAGTGTCCAAACAGTGCCCAAACAGTGCCAAACAGTGCACTCCACAGTAAAGTCAAATTTCTTTTCTTAATATGTGTGAACTCAAATGTGGAACTTGTTTTTGAATCGGGGGAGTACTACGTAAGAGGTTTGGTTATACTACGTATGTAATAGTAAAAAAAATATTAGCTTGTGAATAGTTAAAAAGCTACGAGGTTTCCATTAAAAAGGAAAAGGAAATCAGGACTTGGTAGTTGGTATTACCTCCACGGGTCAATGTTGTGAAATAATGGGAAATGGTTACTACAATAGGAGCCCTAACAGATATATTTATAATAGAAGAGTTGCCAAAATACAAATTATTCCTAAATAAATATTAAGCAGATTCCTAAATATATATTAGGAAGATTCCTAAATATATTAGGCTATTACACCCCCTCAAACTGTGCGGGATACACAACGCGCATGTTGTCTTTTAAAAATGAAATTGCAAACAAAAAACAAACTTTTAGTAAATATATCCCCAAGCGGAAGATTATGAGGCACATATTTGACAATAAGAGCTCCATGAGCAAGTAGATAATAGATGTCTGCAGCAGCAAGCGGCGAACTCAACGGTGCACTGGAAGCAAGCACAGTGGTCAGCGACGCGGATAAGGTGGGTTGCGCGAACGTAGGCTTCAATAGGCGGCAAACTCAACGGCACGCTGGAAGCAAGCACCGTGGTCAGCGATGCGGAGAAGGGGATATGCGCCGTATCAGCCGCGCTCATCCTCAAAGGATCGGAGACTGCCATAGATGTGACGGCAGTCGACCCCGTGGCGGCGGCGGCTATACTAGGGTTCGTGGGAACCCCAAAAAAAAATATCTATATCTAAAAAACTAGAGCTCTTGATACCATGTGAAATAATGGGAAAGGGTTACTCCAAAAGGAGCCCTAACAGATATATTTATAATAGAAGAGTTGCCAAAATACAAAGTATTCCTAAATAGATATTAGGCAGATTCCTAAATATATATTAGGAAGATTCCTAAATATATTAGGCTATTAAATGTTTGCTAAGGAAGAAAATTGGGTTGAGGTATCAAATTCAAGCTCTTTGTGCACACCACATGCTATATCATGATTTACCTTTCACTCTTTATCGAATCGAGGTGCGAGGATGACTTGTGTGAGCGATTCCACCTTTTGGAATGAAGATTGAAAAATTACTTGGTACTAGTTCAATCCCCACCATTACTTTAACATTTGACTCGTTTTCTTTTTCTTTTTTCATATTCTAACTTTTATAGGTCGGTTTCTTACTAATTCTTCGGGAAAAAGTTTCAACCGTTCAAACTACTTCCAAGTTTTTCACAAGATGTGTGTCTCAACCAATGTTAAAAAGGAGTCGCTCTTAAATGGTCACTCAGTAGGTCCCGCTTATATCTCCGGCTAGTAGGGGTGGGTACAAAATATAGAATTGAATAACCAGACAAAAAAACTAGTAATTTTTAAGTTAACTATTATGTCTTTTCACAACTTGTAGTACAATTTAAAGAATGGTTAATAGATTATTGTATAGCAAACTATTATCAAATTCACAAATATATCATATTCTTTGACTTTTATAAAAAACAAAAGACTCAAACTTCATCTTTTTCAATAATTATGCTTTTTTTGTCAAAAGTACACATTTTTATCGATACCAATAAGATATAAGCAATAAAAGTTTTTAAAATATAGCAATAAAAGTTTGTAAACTTAATACTAGAAAGAAGTGAAAATATGAAATATAAATATGATTTTGTTCTTAAGTTTTACTTATTCATCCATTGAAAGTGCAATTGGAAGAAAAGTTGAAATTTGATTTTTTTTAAAATAAAAGTAAAAGTATGTGATAGATGTGTGAATTTGATGATAGTTAGGGATATATTTAGCTAATAATCCTTTAAAGAATAATCTAAAGATATGATTCACACTAATATTTGAGTTTTACCATATGATTATCGTTAGTTAAGTGGGAAAAAAACATAAATGCCCATTGTATAATATACTTCAACAATTTAAAGAAGAGGATTTTTAAAATATTACTAAAATGAAATGTTGATAAATATGTGATTAAAGTTATTATGAGTACAAAAATGCTATTTTTACACGCCGAGTTACACACCAGTTTACATGCCAAGTGTATTT